GCCGGGTGTCGTGGAGGTTGTGCTGAGAACGCCTAGATCGGGGCGTAGTTTCATTTGCTCGGCCTGTGAGCTGTACAGAACATCTGGCCCTAAAGAAGGGTGGAGAGCAGATTGTAACATCACTGGGGTCAGTGTCTTGTCCCTTTCGGGGCTCTGAGTGTGTTTGAAGTTGCTGGGTGTGACTTCACCTTGTTGCCATGCGAGTTCGTGGCCTGAGTACTCAGGTGGCTCACATGGACAAGGAAAAAGAGGGAAAATGAGTTCTCAAGGTAATCTTGAAATAAAAGCTGAGTTCTTTTTTCCTGGTTTAGGAGGAAAATCCTGATACATCCTGAAGATGTTTAACAAATCCTTTGGAACGCCGTTCGGAGGCAGCACTGGCTTTGGGACGACTTCAACCTTTGGACAAAGTGAGTGATACGTCCCACCTGACTTGGCAGTGCCTCGGGTGTGTTTTCCTGGAGGTGCAGCTGGGGGATCGGAGGGAGTGGGCATTCCCTGAGTCTGGGAATTGGAATGCTGCTAGGCTGTCCAGCTCCCTTTGCCATGAATCACGTCCAGCAGCCCTAGGACTCTCCACTGGCCAAGCTTGTAATTTAGGGACATATCAGGATTCCCTGTACCTTAATCAACACCTCTCTTTACAAAAAGAGTGGGAACTGAAACTCTTAAATAAGGGCTGTCTTGCCAGGGTGGGGGGAACGATCTTGAGAGCAGCTCTGAGAAGGACTTGGGGGGCTGGGGGCGAGGAGCTGGCCATGAGCCGGCCGTGTGCGCTGGCAGCCCAGAAAGCCAACCCCATCCTGGGCTGGATCCAGAGCGGTGAGGGAGGCGATTCTGCCCCTCTGCTCCGCTCTGGGGAGACCCCCCCTGCAGTTCTGCTCCAGCTCTGGGCCCCCAACAGCAGAAGGACACGGAGCTGTTGGAGCGAGTCCAGAGGAGGCCCCGGAGATGCTCCGAGGGCTGGAGCCCCTCTGCCCTGGGGACAGGCTGGGGGAGTTGGGGGGTTCAGCCTGGAGAAGGGAAGCGCCGGGGAGACCTCAGAGCCCCTTCCAGTGCCTGGGGGGCTACAAGGAAGCTGGGGGGGCTTTTCCCAAGGGCAGGGAGTGACAGGACAAGGGGTGATGGGTTTGAAGTGGAAGAGGGAGATGGAGATGGGCCATCAGGAAGGAATTTTTCCTGGAGAGGGTGGGAGCACTGGGACAGGTTCCCAGAGAAGCTGTGGCTGCCCCATCCCTGGGAGTGTCCAAGGCCAGGCTGGATGAGGCGTGGAGCACCCTGGGCTATGGAAGGTGTCCCTGCCCGTAGCAGGGGGTGGGGCTGGGGGGGCTTTGAGGTCCCTTCCCATCCAAACCATTCCACGATTCCGTGTATCAGGACACAGCTCCGTGCTTCCGGACGCCCTGCTCTGATGGCAGCAGTGGGCTGGTGGGAGGCTCAGAAATTATCTACCCGTCCCCTTCACTGGGGCTGGACCCCTCAGCCCCTGCAGGCACCTTCCCAGCCTCCTCCTCAGGCTCTGGTGGTCCCAGCCCGTTTCCAGGTTGTTGCTGGGACAGGTTTAGCCGTGAAAGCAGACCAGAAACTGCTGGGTGCTTTGGGAAGGAAACACAGTAATTCTGTTCCTATTGCTCCTAAACCAAGGTGTGAGAAAAGCACCTTCCAGGTGCTATCAGAGGTGGTAGAGGCCTTGCAGAGGAGCGTCTCTACACCCTGTAGAAGGGGCTGGCTCGAGTACTGCAGCGCTTTGCTGTAGGAGCTCTGCGGAAGCATTAGTCGTATCGCGTCGCGTAGCCCGGGCGCGGAGTGTCGGCAGTCCTGCACGGGCTTCTTCGGGACCGTTGAAAGGCAGCGGTAGCACTCAGTCTCTAGGACGTGTGTGGGGTGTGATTTAACGTGAACTGCAACGCTCCCTCGCAGATGCCGGCTTTGGTACTACAAGCGGAGGAGCCTTTGGAACGTCAGCCTTTGGATCGAACAATAACACTGGGGGCCTCTTCGGGGGGACGCAGACAAAACCAGGTATTGCTGTGCGACCGTAGAACGCAGTCCTGGAAGAAGGATGTTGTTAAAGAGCGGGGGGGTGTGGGACAGAAAGGGGGGGGAAAAAACCCCAAACACAAGCAACCGACAGCAAAACCTGCCCCCCAAAACCCCAAGCGATCGGTGATTGCGAATGAACAGTCTGTCTCTGTCTTCAGGGGGGTTATTTGGTTCGACTACGTTTAATCAGCCAGCCACCTCCTCCACAAGCACTGGCTTTGGCTTTGGCACGTCAACTGGGACATCAAACAGCCTGTTTGGAACGACCAGCACCGGTGGAGGCCTCTTCTCCTCCCAGAGCAATGCCTTCGCCCAGAACAAGCCGGCGGGGTTCGGAAGTGAGTAGAGTGCTGCATCCCTTGTGCGTTGCTCGTCTTCCTCGACGGAAGAGCACGGGATGCTGGGTGTACGTGTGCATCTGGCACGCGTGTCAGTGTGGGGAGTTGGGGGCTGGAGCCCCTCTGCCCTGGGGACAGGCTGGGGGAGTTGGGGGGTTCAGCCTGGAGAAGGGAAGCTCTGGGGAGACCTCAGAGCCCCTTCCAGTGCCTGGGGGGGTACAAG